TGTTTTACGCTAGGACATGCTTTAATGGTACAATGGTCACGTAGAATAACGAATAAGGTACAGATTTTTCATGGAGTTTAGTCGAGCGGGTTTCACGTTGCTGCAGTGTTGTTGTTTTGTGTTGCGTTTTCCCCATTAATTCTGGGATGCCTCATAGTCATTGAACGCAGCACTGTTTTGCGTATGTGGGCTTGTTTGGACAAATCATAAGGATAAAACATATGGGGAAAAACAGCTAACGCCGTGAGTCTGGAGGTAAAAGGCTGCCTTTCTGACAAAACTACTGGACAAGAAACATGTTTCCCCGGACACATTCCCTGTATGTGCTGTGTTTAGACGGTGTACGTCGCTGCATCAGGATGCCGCGGTTACTCTCTGACTACAGAGCAGGTCTGGGGCAGGGGGCTAGAGAATAACGGAGCACAGCTGACCACTGGACTGGGAAGCAGACGGTCGCCCGTCGTGGGTCAGCATCATGAGGGCTAACAACAGGGCTGACGACAGCGGCCTGGGATAGACGGGAGGACGTCCGAGTGGGAGGCAGGTGGGCCAGAGGTGGGAAATGACACCGAGCTGCTCCGAACCCGCAGGCCGAGTCTCCTCCGAGAGATATCGTTGCTCCAACAGTGTCATGCTCACCCCGTAACTACGCCGCATCCCACTCTAGTTTTTATCAGCTGCTGGCTTTTTCTTCCCCCCCTCCAGTCTCATCATGTCCTTCACAATGGAGGATAATTTGGAGTCGGGATGGGTGGCCGTCCGCCCGAATGCGTTTGAGGAAAAAGAAAAGCATAAATTGGTGTTTATCGTCGCCTGGAACGAAGTTGAGGGTAAATTTGCCATTACGTGTCACGACAGGACGGTTCAGAGGAGAAGCTTCTGCAGGGATCTGGAAGTGACAGGCCGGGATGGGGCCAAAACAAAATGGCCCGAGAGTCCCGTCAGGGAGAAGGTCTCCCGGAGCCCGGGCAGAGGAGGGTCCGAGGCTGCGGGCAAAGGGAGCAGCCCCAGAACCAAGACCGAGACCCCTGCGTGTCCGGTCAGTGTGGAGCCCCCCTCCCTGGACCGCCTGGACCTGGAGGAGCTGGACTGTCCTGGCCGAGAGGACTGCAGCTGGGCCGGACTCTTTTCCTACCAGGACCTCCGGGCGGTGCACCAGCAGCTCTGCTCGGTGGACTCGGTCCTGGAGCCCTGCCTCCCGGCGTTCCCGGAGGAGCCGGCCGGGATGTGGACGGTCCTCTTCGGTCCGGCGGAAGTGCCGCAGACGGAGATGGACCAGCTGTGCCACGGCCTGCAGCTCTACCTCGGTCACGCGTTAGATACCTGCGGGTGGAAGATCCTCTCGCAGGTGCTCTTCACGGAAAACGACGACCCGGACGAGTATTATGAGAGCCTGAGCGAGCTGAGGCAGTCCGGGCACGAGGACGCGCTTAGCCGCGCGACAAAACATCTGCAGGAGGTGAGGAACTGAGTATGATCTGCACATCTGGAATCAATGAAGCACTGCTCATAACACCTGAACATATGAACTTATGAACACATTCATAATGCTAGGAAGTTATCATGACTCCCCACTGGTATAAAAAGGTGGGAAAATAATGCTTTAAAAGCCCTAAGGTGTCAGTAGAAATCATGTCCTGACACCAGGAAGCCTTTGAAGTGTGAAACAAACTGACTGATTGGACTCTGAGGAGAGCTCTGGCAGAAAAAATACTTCCATTTATGGCACTGTGAAGTGAGCAGTCTCACTGGATAGACAGTGAGAGAAGATGTAAAACATGTTTTTTTATATATCAAACCCTTCAGTTTACACATCTGACATGGTCTGATGCTCACACAGATCACCTGCTTCAGGTCCATGCCCCCTTTCTCAGATATCCTGGTGGTTTGAAAGGAACATGGATGGTATTTTGAAGGTGGTTTTAATCTGATGGGTGTCCTTCTGTGCTCAGAGCGTCCAGACTGTTTTTTGTTTATAGTTCTGTTTATTCTTTTTCTTTTCTCATGGGATTTATCACTAGTTTTGTTGCCAGCATACTTCTCGTCAGTACTTAAACTTATTATTTTTGACAACATTTAAGGTCGTACTGCGTTTCCTTCCTGAACATTGTGTTAAAATCAGCAGAAATTGACACGCTGAGGCATTTCTCTGCCTCTCTTCAAATAGTTGATGTCCACAAAGCAGACCAAGGCTGCAAAGATCATAAAAAGAGTGTCATCTGCCTTTGAATAGTTGCACCGTCCCAACACACCCTCTTTAGTCACGTTCACGCAGAAATGTGCACAAATCTTTTATGGAAATCATCCCACCCAACCTTGCCAGCATCTTAACCACAAACTCAGTCTACCTTGTTTGATATATACTTTTTAATGAGTGCTGTGGGTCTTGAATAAACGTCTGCTCTGCAGTGGCTGAAGGTGAAAGAAGGAGAAAGAGTGGTGCAGATTGGAATGAGAGGAATACCTCTCATTAAGCAAGAGGTTGGGTCAGCCTTTTTGCTTGTGTTTCTGCCGGTGGCATCAGCAACATTTCGCTGATAGATGGAAGAAAGGATCCAGCTCGATGGCAGGAGTTTGTAAACGCTAACATCCCACGGAAGGACGAGGAGGGGATAGCTGCACCAGATCATGTCCCTTAACACAGCCAAAAATGCACACCAGTCTTTTACGAAAGGTTTAAATGGGAGATTTTCCCTAAAGCAGAATTATAGTTGCTGACATAAGCGGAATTCTGTGCAGCAAAAGTAAAAGTTTTTAGCGTTACCTGCATGCTGACAATGCAGGATGCCCAAAGCTTTTCTTTCTATCTACTTTTAAAAATTTGGTTGGGTTCCCCACCCCAAAAAATGGTTGAGGTGTCCATGAAGTATATCTTTAGAGGTTGTAAGTCAAAGCTTGTACTAATGGCTTTGACACAGACGTTGAGGCCAACAGGGCTCCAGACAGTAAATGCTAACAGCCATCTTGTGTTACACCCCAGTAGCAGTTGGTGATCGATTAGCTGCTCTTAATATAAACAGACAGTACGCTGAAGTTCATTGGCTCTTGTTCGGCTCTAATAATCGATTAAGAGATCAATGCATCCTTGACTGGTGGAGCAGTTCAGATATGGGAATCACAGCGTTACAGCCCGCCGCTATGCAAGGGGGCAAAGTGCCATTCACATTGAGGTCATTCGTATGAACAAATGTAGATATTTTAGAAGCAAAAAGAGCATGTAGCTGGATTATGTTAGCTGATGTGTTGTGGCAAAGGCGCTTCCACTTTGCTCCACTTTTGGCACCAAGAGGAGCCTCTGAGCTCGGCGGGTCGGTAACCCACATGTCATTCCATGAAGTCAGTCCCACGCCCTCTGCTCTTCACACAGCTCAGAAGCTAAAAGGGAGTCGGACTCAGGACGCTCTCCTCTTCTTTACTTCCTGAGCAGAAACCATAAAACAACAGAACCAGCCTTCCCACCAGTCAGCTGATTTTCGTTCATTTTCCAAAGTGAACCTGCCAGTTTCAGATTTCCACTTTCCTTGAGGATGTGTCCGTCCATGGAATGAAGAAGGAGACACATATTCAGCTTTTTTTTTTAACCACCAGTGTTCCGCTGCTCATCCAGAGGCAGATGCTGATGGCAGGGGGGTCAAATTTCATACAGACGTTCTGGACTATTGATCTTGCCACTCCATTTGAGGGCTAAGTTAAAAGCTATTTTAAGGGATGTGCTCCCAGACAAAAAAATCCTATATATTGATCTTCTCCTCAGGGCTACATGTTACTCTGCACATTGAGTCATGTATGAATGTATATTGAAAGACTGCACTTACTGCTTAAATAATTTACACTTACACAAAGCACCCTATTGTAACTACGTACTACCCTATATAGATAAAGCAGGAGTCAAAAAACACATTGTAAGCGAAGATACGTTACACTATGTTTGCCAATAATTTGGACAATGCTACAGAATATATCTATAATATATTTTATGTTTGTGTGTGTGATACAGCTGCTGGAAAAGCACAGAACTATGGACAGTATGGTGGAGCTACTGGAGCTGTACGAAGAAGAGGACCAGGCCTATGGAGGTCTGCTGGAGGCCTCCACACAGCTCTACCAATACCTGCTGCAGCCCTTCAGAGACATGAGGGAACTGGCAATGCTACGCAGACAGCAGATAAAGGTAACAGTTCCCGGCACAATGAGGCGCCTCCCTGCGTCAATTAATTTTCTCTGGGCTCTTAGTTTATTCAGCTGTTCTGGGATCTAACCCTGTGTGTGTGTATCAATATGTATGCACTTTGCCACAAACATCCATCCCCAAAGAAAACCCTGCCTCGTAACCTGTCCGGGAAATGGTGTCTCTCTCAGTTTAGTCCACTTTCCACGGTGTCTGAAACAGTTACACCATGTGGCAGATGGGCTTTGAGTGACATTTTGTAAGCTTGAATGGATATCCAGTTTCCCATAGTCTCAAAGTGGCATGAATAAATGATGGTGTGTGAGGTCCTATAGGTTTACTGCAGGGACAGGCTCACACTGACATGCAAACTGTACCAGGCAGCAGGAGAGAAAAGACGCAGGGAAAAAAGTTAAAGCCTGTATTTGTGTGAATATATCTACATATATGTATATATATATTTTAATCAATCTCCTGAAAAAGCCGAGATTTGGCTTTATTAAACCCATGCAAAGCATATCCACTCAGGCTGCAAAAGGCTTAGGTCCCACCGAGATTTGAACTCGGATCGCTGGATTCAGAGTCCAGAGTGCTAACCATTACACCATGGAACCAGCTGTCAGGCCTGTTAGACGTCAAGGATCTGTTTACTACAAATTCCATTCACCCCCACAGTGACGATGGTTTCGGGCTATGTTTAGCGTTCTGTGATGTTCTTCTGTGTTATTTTTAAACTGGTCACTTTTCAGACAATAATCTGTGCAAGTTCAGAAGCTTTTGTCTGTTGTTGTTTTTTTTCTTGGAGAAATTAAACCAAAATGAACTTGTACAAGTGTGATGAGGGTAGAACTGTATTGAGAGGGAAGGAAAGGACTCAGGATCCACACGTCTACATGTCTTGTGTGGAAATGGTGGAGACAGTCTAACAGGTCTGTCAGTGAAACTGGGTCACTCACTTTCACTGATAGCAGGATGAATTATAGAAGTCCAACCCCATAGTGGCACTTCCAACTACACATGCATAAAGACTCAAAACATTTATCAAAATCCCAAAACCTCTTTCTGTCAAATGAATGGATTAGTTATAAATGGCCCAGTCAGTTAAGTCCACTTAATCTGAAAAAGACGAAGTGAAAGCAGTTAGCGGGAGTCTCTGAGAAGGGAAGCGCGTTTGATCACTGTCAGGCAATTCCTCTGGAAAGGATTTAAATACAAACGTTATACATAATCCTTACCGTCAGAATTACATGAATAATTTAGTGTAATTACCTTTGACTCTGTATCGTAAAAGGTCATTAATTGAATATTTTATTAACCTCTTGACTTTAGGCTGAAAGTCCATATTTCAAATGCATTCTTAATTGCTTCATGTGAAATCAGCACCTGTGCCAAAAGGGGCAGGAAAAACAGCTGATCTTTTGATTGACATTTTCCAAACAAATAATCCACAAAAGTCTTGTAGTTCACTTTAACATTATGCTAAAAAGCTAACCATTCAAGAATTTTCTCCAGAGCACATTTCCTACTGAAACGTTTGGGTAGACTGATATCCAGAAAGGTTTTAACAACAGGTTGGACTGTTCTTAACCCAAACTCTGTGGTTTCAGCTGGACACTCAGTTGTTTTATTTGGCTGATGTGATCCAGTGTTTTGACCCAGAGTAGAAACAGGGTAACATCTGTGTTACAGCTACGCAGTGTCCCTTCTGATTTAAAGAAATCCGATGCTACTGCCTGCCAGATGACACAATCATGATGGAAGGCTCTTTTTTCACCTGTTTGCTTATTTAAACCCAGGTGTTGATGCACATTTTTTTACTCATATAGTCATTAAGAATATTTTAGTGAAACTTTAAAAAGCTATTGAGGCTCCAATTATTGTCTTTGGTGTAACACTTTAACTGTCAAGTGACAACTATTTTTCTACTGCTCTGTTAAAAAGTGTGTATTTTCTCATCAGATTTCGATGGAGAATGATTTCTTGGGCCCAAGGCGGATTGAAGCTCTAAAGAAAGAGGACACTGACTGGCAGAAGAAAGCCCAGGAGGCGGTCCTCAACATCCAGGACTTTACAGTAAAATACTTTGAGATCACTGCCAGAGCCCAGAAAGGTACTGTTATCCGTTACTGTTGCTGCCAATGACAAGTCAATAAAGCAGCGGAGGAATCACACACACCACACCGACACACACTCACTTATGTAGTGCTATTGACCTGCGTCTGTTTTTGAAACACAGGGCTAATCTGATTTTGTGTTAATGAGACACTGTAGACAGCCATGCTTTGAATAGACAGGGGAGAAACGAGGACGACCTATTGATCCAAACCTATTGCCAGCTTATTCTGCCTGTCAGGATAACTTCTCAATGTGTCCCTGTTTACGTCAGTTTTCCCTCCACCTCTGACTAATCCATCTGACAATTAATCCGCTGGAAAATAAAAAACAAAAAAACGTGACTTTAAATGCAAGGGAAAGAAAAACAATGCAATATCCAAGTTTCCAGTAGATGTCCCTCTTTATATTAGTGAAGCTTTCGCCCGCTCTGAAGAATTCAGCTGCCGTATCAAAGGAAACAGAAATGGTGGTGATTTGCCCACTCAGCGTGTGACGCAGTCTCACATTCAGCCCTGTGGAAGTTTCACTTCATCTCATTTCACGTGTGTCCGTAGGGGTGTATGAGCGTATGAAAGTGGACCAGAGAAAGTTTGGAAAATCTTCATGGACAGCCGCAGTGGAGCGCATGGAGAGGCTGCGCTACTGCGTCGCCAAGGAAACTCTGCAGCTCCAGAGAGCCAAGGAGATCAGTCTGGAGCAGAGGAAACACACACTTCGAGAGGAGGTTTGACAGCACACTCAGCATTGTCTGAAACAAAGGCGTTGTACCTGAACACAGGTGCATTACTATTGTTTGGATGCGTGCCCTCAGATGCAGGATCTGTGCAGCAGTGAGGATGCCATGGCCCTCTTAGACCACATGGAGACGCAGTACTATGAGCTCCAGCTCCAACTGTACGACATACAGGTGGAGATCCTGCAGTGTGAGGAGCTGCTGCTCACTGCCCAACTCGACAGCATTCGCAGACAGATGACAGGTACTTACAGCATAGAGACTAAGTCTTCATGAACAAAATTAGCTAACAAGATAAACTTTTCAAGTTTCAAGTGATCCAATATAAGAAAGCTTTTCCTATTCGATTAAATAAAGCTACGTCTGCGTTTCTCTTTTACTTCTTTCATCACTGTGAAGGAGAGTGCCCACTTAAACAGCATGCAAGCTAGTGCAGCAGATTTGCGCTTAACTTTTAGCTCTACAGGACAGCAAAATATGTGTGCGGCTGTGAGAGATTCAGAGGGGCAGTAAGAGCTGGAAAAAACTGCTGTGTCTATATTTTATACATACATACATCTTTTAAACATAAATTAATCCGAAAGGAATTTAATATTTCTATCTAAAAGATAGAGATTGTATTAAAGTCCTAACGAGCTGCAATTTGTATTTGTGCTTTCAGAGCGACAGGAGGAGGTGGTGTACTATGACACTTTTGAAAGTACAGATGACATAACAGAGGATGATGCTGCCGACAGAGAGGAGCTGCGCAGACTACAGGTCAGCGCTCGACAGCTCGAGGCAAGAAGAGGACGCATCACTGCCAAGCGCTCCTACCTACGGAACAAAAGGGTGTGTGTCCCGTCCACCCTCATGTTTTCATTTCTGAAGTGCTACTCCTGGTCCACGGCAATTGGATGCAGCTCATTATCTAGACTGAACAGACTGTAAAGTGTTTGGGGTTAAAAGACAACACAGAGCACTGACAGATAGTCATTGTTCATATTATGCAATTTGTTTGACTATGACTGTGGAAATGATAGCAAAAGTGAATGGAAATAATGTGCGACTGATCTTTAGCAACTGTCACTTCAGCAGAAAGTCTCAGTGTTGTTGATACTGAAGTTTTTGTTTAATCAGTTTGTTTTTTTCTAGTTTTACTGTATAATTCTCCTCTTTATGCAGGAGATCTGCGTATCAAACCACACGGAGAAGCAGCAGAGACATCAAACCATCCCCAAAGGCGCTTTGTCCCACCACATCTTGCAGGTGGAACCTTTTTTCCCTGTTTCTATCTACATGTCATGCAGTCTGTGTAAAAGACAGGGAACTCTGATAGTTACATGATTACATCAAACTTACCTTATACTCAGCACACATATATACTATACATTATCAGGGAGTCTAATATTTTCTGTGGCTAAAAATATTTCAGCTTAACACTGAGGAGGAAGAGGATGAGGAGATGAAGAACAGCAGAGTAAGTCAGGAGAGGCAGAGAACTCTGGACAGGCTCCGTAGTTTTAAGCAGGTGCGTGTCCTCCTGTTCACTGGAAGCATCCCAACATGTTGCACAGTTTTCTGGCTCATCCCTTTCTCCTCATATTTGCCACCCTAGCGTTACCCCGGTCAGGTGATCTTGAAGTCCACTCGGCTCCGCGCGGCCCACTCAAAAAGAAAAGATCGAGGCAGAAACGTGGAAATGAGGGAGGGCTTTGTGGTGTCCGCCGCTGTCCACGCGCGGGGTCAGCCGCGGTGTCTCAGCACCAGCGTGCAGACGGACCCCAGCGCCACCCTCACCACTCAGCCCGTCGCCACACTCACAGCATCAGTTCCTCCTCTGCCTGCAGCCAGCCCCGCAGACGCCTCCTGCTCGCCCTGCTCCTTCTCCTCACTGCTGGCGTCTCCTCTCTCCCCCCCGCCACCGGCACCTCCTCCACCTCCCCTTCCAACAAAGGAGGAGACGTCCCCCCTGGGGAGCCCCGGCAGGCCAGGACGAAAGAGTGCAGAGGAGGAGCTGACGGTCTCCCCACTCGGGCCGTTCATCCCTCGCTTTTTTGACAGCAGCCAACTGGTGAGTGCACGGAAGAAGCTGAAGAAGACTCCAGAGTTTGACGCCCACAACAGAAGAGGTATTGGTAATATTCATTTAGCTTGTTTTATATATATGTATACTTTACATCACACATTTCATCCTCTCCCCTCCCCTCCCCGCACACAGTGAGCTCACCCATGGATGAGGTGCTTGCCTCCCTGAAGAGAGGAAGCTTCCATCTGAGGAAGGTGGACCAGCGCTCCCTGCCTCCTTCTAAGGGGGACGATGACCCCAACAGCATTCTCGCTCAGATACGCAAAGGGGTCAAGCTTAGGCGCGTCCCCTGTAAAGACAGGAAAGACCAGAGAGAGCTTTCCGCCTCCACTGACCCTCTGACCAGGAGCATCCACGAGGCGCTGCGCCGCATCAAGGAGGCCTCCCCGGAGTCCGACTCAGACGAGGACGGGTTTGCGGGCCCGGACTGGGAAAGCTAGGGTTCATGCTAATCAGACAACACACACACAGGTGACACTAGATACACTGTACTGCACCGTGTAGCACTGCACTGTACAGGTAACAATTACTGACGCACAGCCCAGCTGCACTTGTACCTGGTGATAATGCCAAGGCCAGGGCCATAGCAGTTAGCACCACATTTTCCAGAGGTCTTTGATTAGTCCTTTTCATTTGTTTTTCACACTGCATTTAATGTCACTGAGGACTTAAGTCTTTGTTTTTATTTCTACTGTGTGTCTCTGTGGTTTTGTTTCCATAACTGGTCTTTGTATTTTCTATTTATTTTCTATTTTCTATCAGTTGTACTGTTGTGCATGTTTCATCAACACATTGCACTGACACTCAAAGAAACTGAAAACTCTGTATGGAAGTGACTTATTTGCCAGCTGCTGGATCTTTATTTTCATGTGAGAGCAGGAATGGGAATCTGTAACTGCATCTAAAATATGTGGTGACTTTGGCTGGTGATATGGGGTCTTGTTAGAGATTTGGAATCCATTAGGATTACACAAATCTCCAAACTGGCATCACTGGATTTATGGTCCAGATTGAAAACATGTATACCACCAAGCATCATTTCCTTTCTGACTGAGCCTACTTCTGATGCCCGTCTCCTCTCTCTCATACAGTGTGTCTCACTGCTAACTGCTGTTTGCGGATCCAAACAAAATACTTCAGTCTTTTAGTCTGATTAAGCCCCTCCCCCATCCCTGTTCCATTCCAGCTTACGCCACCCCCAACTCTCACCCTTTATCCAAATGAGGGAATATGTATCGACCCATCTGTGAAGCCAGCAGTGGATACAGAGAGTACAGTAGACTGATCATTATCTGCTACATCTCCAATCTAAAGCTGGTCACAGGGTTTCAGAGCTAGCTACTGGATCAGTAGTCTTTGTCAAGTGTGGGCAGAATTGGTTGGTTTTTCCCAAACTTCTAATGGGGGTTAGTCACGGTAGAACAGTTACAACAAGTCACGCTTCTTCTAATGATGGATGGTTTGTGGGAGGCCCGATTCTCTCGGTGTGGATGGGAGACACCGTGGGCTGCGGAGGAGGCGGTGGTGATTGATGCGGCTCCTCCTGCCGTCTTATTCACTTCCTCCTCCCGTATATTGCATCTTTTCTCATTTTCTCTCTCTGCACTCTGTGGGCAGAAGCACACAGAAGGAGGTCTGTTGCTCACAGTGCTGGAAGTGGCTCGCAAGCACATTCACAGCCAATATGTGCAGGGACATCTCAGTGGCATTCAGTCCTCTCCCAGCTTCTGCTTTCAGATATTTTTCCAGAGGATGTCGCAGCACTTTCACCATACATACTTTCCGAATTGCTGGCTGTGTTATATGTGCTGAAGCACATATAAATGAATAGTTAAACGTGTAAATGCACTGAATAGCTTGTGGAACTTGACCTAAATATGTATGAGATAACTAGCGGGTTGTGGAGCAGCACAGAAATTCACAAATTTGCCTCGAAGCAAAAAGAGGTGGATTCATACACTAAGAGTCTGAGGCAGCTTCATCGTACACTGTGTTAAACAGCTTTGATGCTTTTTCCCTGATGCTTGCGTTTGAATGACTTTGTGGAGTCATTCTGAGGTAAACACTAATAAACACACTCACATTATACTTAAACCACAACCTGAATCCTTGTCAGTGACAGTAAATGGTTCATTTTTCTCGATTGCTGTGATTGTAACTGTCAAGTTTTAGCGGCAAACAAATCGAGACTAAGCTGTTCTGAATGACCATTTTCATCTTTCATGTTTTCAGGACGCACTCTGTCCAAAGTTATCGCAGAGGCTGGCTGTGTTTTTAAGGAGCTCTGATTTTTAGCCTTTGGCTGAAACATCTAAACATCATTTTTTACCAGACATATGCTCAAATTCTCCAGTTTCACTGATATGAAAGCATGCTCTGATGACACATGGTAATCCCTCCACTTTTCAAAACTCTTTTTTTCCATTTAGTTTGTCAGCAGAACGCAGCTTGAAGAGTGTCACTGCTTAGGAGAAGGTCTATTTTTTACCTGTGCACTGGCATGACTTTAAGAATCATTACAAGGCTCTTCCATAGAACCTTTATCGTGTAGCTTGAGACAGAGATCCTGACCCTGACTTGTAATCTCTGACCTTACTTGACCTAATGTTACTGTAACTTTCCCCAGGAGATTTTAGGTACTCTAAACATTGGTGAAAGTTGGTTCAGAAGATGAGACCCTTAATGTAAATATGCATTACATTTAAAAGCTTTCCTGATATCCTGTTTTTTTCCTTCAAAGCATATCCAGCCAAATCATTTAGTTTCTGAACCTTTCCTGTATGGACCTGTAACCTGGACAGGCTGAACACCTGAGCCTTTGTCTGAATACCACTCAGCCCTTTGAGACAATGTGCAATATAAAAATAAGAAATATAAGATCGGATTCAACTGTTTCATGGGTGGTGTTAAAATGACTACTATTCGTGCAAACAATGGACTTAGAAATCATTTAAACTGTTTTTTACCACATAATGTGTGACAAACTTATCCAAAAAAAACCTTATGCCTTTTGTCCTGTAATTTTCATTTATTTAGATCTTTTTTAATTTACATTCTTGCATTTGAATAAAACCTTGCAAAGCAGCAGAGTTTGTCTGTGAATAATTTAATGAGTTGTTTGTGTATATAAAAAAATCAGGATAAAAGTAGAATGTACACACACTGAATTCTGTGGTCACTATCTATGAATATAAAACCTTCTCAGCCCAACAGGGCTGCGTTTGTCTGAATTCAGCAACAGATTTATTCCAGCTGAAGCACCTGATCACCTCTCCCAACACATTTTAATCCATTCACCTGCCGACACACAAATCTCACCAACGTACGAACGTTGTTAGCCTGAGGTACCTCTTTAATGTCATGAGTTCAAAATTACTTTAAATAGTCAAAAATATTGCCAGTCTTCTCATACCTCTGAATACAATAATAATACCTACATTGAAGTACCATAAGTTACAAAACAGGAGAATGAAAAGCTTCTTATCCACTACTGTACAAAGGCATTCATTAACAATAGCATTAATATTAAGGTATTCCATCTCTGTCACTCAACTGCCAAAGTTACACCAGACAGAAAAAAATAAGTAACAATCCCCTTTACATGAGTCTTATTCCGGTGTATTAACCTGTGTAAATAACTACAGAAAGTAATATAAGTATAGAATTATGGTGTGCGGATACTAAATGCAAGTCTGTTGAAATATAATGGCATAACAACAGTGTAATGACATAGTGCAAACAGGGTGCTCGGCTGAAATATGACATCAGCAGCACCAAGATACATCTTTTTAGAAATTTAGAGAGGTGAAGAATTTACCGGCATAAGAGCTGTTTTATACAGTTAAGAGTACATTTTGGTACAAAATTAATAACGCTATGTGTTTACATTGTGTTGTTATGCTTTCTAAATATACAGAGGAGGTTTTCAGTGTTTACCTACAGATAAGATACTGGTGGGTTAATACACAACAATAAGCCACTGCAGGGTGTTACTGCATTTGAATAATCCGCCCATTCATTTACAATGCCAGCATGAGTAGAAAGTTGTCTTACACAGTTTTGTAATCATATTGTCACTATTATATAGACTGTTCAAAAAATAAAATAGAGAAAGGAAAATGAGTATAGTTCTGTATTCAACTGTGAGGAGTGACAATCTGTGGCCAGTTTCACTGAGGGTGGAGTTTTGCGAACGTGACAATGACACTCTGTGAGCCCGTCGGGATGCACTACTTCGACCACACAGGGCTGCCACACAGTTTTGCGGTCAACGGTAGTACACTCTCTGCTGGACAGGGGGATTAGCTTAACTGCGTTTCAACTATCTGCATGAATCCACTGAGTAGAGTACCTGATAGAGTTGGACAGAGGTGTCGAATAGAGCCTGTCTGGTTATGCTCAATGTGAGTGTGTGTTTGTGTCTGTGTGTGTGTGTACGTGTATGTCGGTTTGGACCTTGAGGTCCAAATTCAGATCCTCCTCTCACAGCACTAACATGAGGGTGCTGCGAGGCCGCACATTATACCGGGCCTTGTTCGGACACACGCCACAATGAGTTTGGCAGGAAGACAGGTGAAGTTGTCTGTGATGGCGGAAGCAGTTTGGATACAGAAATTCTCATTTCCAAATGTAGCACTAATATTTCTCTGTGGCGTAGCGTGAAAAATGCCCCTGGAAGATTCAACTCTCATCTATCATGTAGGATTTCTAATGGACGTAAGCCCCTGGTTTGAATGGAGGCTGGGGCGGAGCAGTGACTCCACTGCAGGCCGAAAGGTAAAGCTGAGTGGCTTTTTGAGAGACGTCCAGCAATTCTCTATTCCCGGTTACACTCTTCTGGCAGCCCAAGCTCACACATGAGTTCCTCTGAACAAATCTTCTTCTATACAGTAAAGTCACTTTGGATCAAAGCATCTGCTAGTTAGAGGACAATATTTTCGTTGGATTTGGCAGCTTTGGCGCAGTTCTCTGAGTCTTAACAGCAATTATTTCCACATGACTTTCAACATTCACCCTGGAGGGGCAATTTAGAGAAGAAGGAAAATGCGTGTGTGTCTGCATGAGTGAGAGAGAGAGAAAGAGAGAAAGAGAGAGAGAAAGAAGTGCTTCGAGCTGAGTGCAGCTCACCCGGTTCAACAGTAGATGGCACTGAGGCACAGTTCTCAAGTGAATGGGTGGGAGTGTTTGAGGGGGTGTGTTTGTGTGTGTGTGTGTGGGGGGGGGGGGGGGTTGGCGGGGGTTTAGGGGGGCAGTTGTGTAGTGCCTCAGCAGGTATCTCTACAAATGGAGCAATCAGTTCATCTAAGGTTACGACTACACCAGCCAATCAGAGGGCGAGCTGAGGTAGTCCCTGCGTCATGTTGAACTACGGGAGTGCTTGCTGTTAATGGGAGCTCAATGCCTGCAAGGTAAAAACAGGGAATCAGCTGCCCTTCGTGAGGCAGTGCAGCGTCTCAGTTTAATAAGTGAGGGGTGCGTGAGGGAGGGTAGGATCGCAGTGAGGCTGTAAGTGAATTATCGTATGGCTCTGTCTGCGAAGGTGGGGCATCTCTGTCTCTAGCTGGCCTCCTCTATGAGCCGAGCCAAGGTGTCTCTGAGCTCCGTCAGCTCAAAGATCTTGCCGTCGAGGAGCTCCAGCAGTGTCCGCAGGCTCTTTCTAAAATTCTCCTGCTCTTCCTGGTTCTCCTCCAGCCGCTGCTCGGCCCCCGCCAGCTGCTCCTCCAGCACCCGACTGCGCAGCTCCGTCTCCTGCGGACGGGGAGATAAAGCCGTCAGCGTGCTGCTGTCATAATTGGGGGAAGGCCGGCGGAGGACAGGCGGCTCACCTCCAGCTTCTGAGTGAGGGTGTCCTTCTGCTCCATCAAGTCGTTCATGTTTTCAAGTTCTTCTTTCAATTTTTCCATTTCCTGGAAGGCATTAAAATGAAAGGATCAAAGACAAACCGGGGCAACGTGAGCCACCACGGCTCCAGACAAGTCCCCCCCTTATCCTGGCAGACGCAGGGCTGAACACAACACACCTCTTCTTTATCCCGTAGTGTGTTCTCCAGCTCCTCTATGGTTTGGTTGAGCTCTGTCTTCTGGGATTTGATCACTGGGGTTTGGTTGCTTTGGCACTCAAGCTCTGTTACCTGCAAGAGAAGAGCATGTTGATACCAAGCGGGACACCAGAAACGGGATCTCAGTCTCACTCCCAACCGGCCTTTTCCTTATTCTCAGATCTCCACTAGTTTTTTTTTTTAAATGTCTTTTGTCCTCTTATCTTGACATCACAGTGTCCCTTCCAGCTGAAGGCTCCTGCTTGATCAGAATAATTTAATCACACGTGAAAACAAACAAGCTCCCTTGTGTTCGCTTTGCTCACCCGTTTGTGTAATCTCTCTGCCTCCTCCTGGTAGGCAGCCAGTTGCTGTTTCCACTGTTTGACGTTGGCTGTGGATTCCAGCAGAGCTGCCGTTAACTTGGCATTGTTCCCTTTCAGTGCCTCCAGCTCAGCTTCCCAGTGTTTTGTCATGGCCGGGCTGCAGAGCACAGAGGTTTACAGTACAGTTTGCCAACAGTAAATGCTCAAGAGATGTGGGCTGCAAACAGACAGTTGACAGGAACACATCTGATATTGTTTGTATAAATCTTTTAAATTAGGGTGTGGTTTAGTTTTTTTCTGCAAAAATGACAGTACCGGAACCTTGCACTGTTGAAGTAGTCCGTTATTTCATTTATGCAACCACTGGTTTGCGGTCTTGTTTTTTCTATTGACACCTAAACAACCCAGTTAAATATGCAAAAGTGCAACCGCAGATAACACAGTTAATTTGTAAAAATGACCATGCACGGGTATTCATACCAAAATACATTCATGAATAGAGAGATTCCAACTAATTGGATCAGTGCTTAGATGGAATTTATATTAAAAATGCTCAATTATAAAGGTCAATTGTATTCATGCATTTACTCTATACCAAGAGAGTATATGAATAAATACAACTTAGTGCTGGCACTGCGCTCTTCCTCCTACATCTCATCGTTTCAGAATAACTCACTGATCTCTCTCTGTCTCTCATATACATCTGTTTGAGGCGGGAGAATGCATGAGACCCAAACTTTTGAGAGTACTGGATCTAATATATTTGAAAATGAGCTCAAACTCCCAAATATTTTACAAAAACTCCAGATGGTGGCAACGAAAAAAGAAAAGACCTGGAAAAGCACAAAGAGAAGCTTTGCTCATTAAAGATTTGATCATGCTCTTTTCGACCCATAACATAGCATCGATTATCCTCCACCCATTCACTGATGCGTGCACGCACTGTAACTTGCTGTATATCCCAACACTCTGCAGCAGCCCTCCACTATTCCACAACGCCCACGCCGAGGCGTAAAAGAGAGAAAGCCCGGATCCAATTCACACAGGGCTCTCACGGAGCCTTCACTTCTTACACAACAGCCACCTCCTCTGAGTGTGCAAGTGTGTCTGCATGTGTGACGCATAGGATGGAGACGACACTTCATCCTACACATACACATTTCAGCTGACACACCACCCCACACACACACACACACACACCAGTGCTCATATGGACACGGCAGTGCTGCCACCAAGACATGCCGCCCCACACGGCAATGTATAAACCCCACACACCAGCTCGGAGAGCCAGAGTGCAGTGGAGACGTCAAGACGTGAAGATGGAGACAGACACAGAGAGCAGGGGAGAGCAGCCGAGGGAGAATGAGAAGAAAGAGAAGGGTACGAGATTGCTTGACACTGGTGTTCTTCTTCATCAGATGGGTCCGGCTGAGGACAGCAGAGGAGAGATAAAGACCTGTGTGGGTAAGTTAGCTGCTGCCGTGCCACCGCACTACTCATAGTGAAACCGATATGCTCAAAAAATCAGCCTATGTGTGTTATCGTGAGGATTTTATTGAAATGGTATCTGTAAGATGGTGTTACAAATTTCAGAGAGTGTGTTTTTGCTCTGCCTTCTTAACATTACATTGTGTTTTTCAAATGTTTCAAATTTTCAGATGACTTTTTTGTGTGTTGCCTGCCGTGATGGTGAAAGACCCAATTTCAAGCAGCCGCAGGTTAATATTAATATTTTGTTTTGAATGTTTTTCTTTAAAAATAAAACTTTTTTATGTGTGTGGATTAAAGCATTTGTCGATGGAACACAAGCTGTGTATTCTGCCAGTTCGTCACAAGTGTGGAATAAAACATTAACATCCAGTTTTGTGTTTTCCTACTTCAAAGTATCATTTTCCCTCCATGTTCAATAAAACCATCAAACACAGGACGTAAACTTGGGTCACACACACTCGTTGCACACCGCTCTTTTGCATCTGCCCTGTCCTGACCACCGCTCGCTGTCAGGTAGGTTTCTCTCCCTCACACAGCACTTTGTGAACTAAGGAGGCACAGCAGTTGCCATGGCAGCACCGGAGGAACGGAGGAGACAGAGCCACAATCTCCTTTCACACAAACCTACGACCAACCCACAGAGTGGCGCCTACATCCTACAACACCAGGAGACCATTCACACACAACTTTTGCGGTCCAAACTAAAGGTCTTACAATATTCAGAAAAACCCTTCAAAAGGCATCCAGTGAAGAGCTGCCAAACACTCCTACATCCTGACATATGAAGTGCACACACAGCCATGTTGTCTTTCATCCTTCTCTCTCCTCATCTATCGTCCGCCCACGCATACCTGCCTACACAGGACCTGCCGAGCAGCCTTGTGGTATATACTCAATGGAGACAAGTCGTCATCTAATTCAAGACACATGGCGGAGAGACACGCCGAAAGCGTTGCGGTGGAATGCCACAAAAAGACAGCCAACACCTGCCCACACAGGTGTTTGCCGTCTGTCTACACCTGAGTCTGAGTCCACATAAAATACACATACACGATGAAAATATACTACAAGCATTTTATTCTTGACTTTTGGCGACTAACTACAAAGGTTATACTCTTAAACAAATAGATTAAAAATTACATTTTTGTAACATCAGGGACACATTGAAAACATAAAAAACACATATTTCATACAAATGAGAGGATTTACGCTGTAGATATATCACACCGAAGATGTGTGAGTCATATAGAAGTAGAAACAAAAAAACGAGAGAGGGTGTTGCGGTAAATATCTGGATGGCTGCTGGATGGCGTCTACTCTTGCTGCGTTTGCCGCTGAAAATTTTGAGAGAGAGGCTTGCTTGTTACATTTGCCATTGTGAATGCCAAGAGTTGACCCCATCTCCCACGCATGCAGCATTAATAGAAACATCAGCAGCAGAGCTGCAGCAGGCAGTGGGTGTCCTCTCTGCATGTCGCTCTAACTGCACAAATCTGTGGAGCCCTACAGTATTCATCCTGTAGCAGCGGGAATTACTAAGCATCTACTCTACTGACTTCTCCCGCAACACAACTAAATGTCTCTAAAGATCTCTCTATTTGTACGCTTAGATGCTAAATGAAACACAATAAAAAAGCTCTCCCACCCAGAAACCAGTAAAATAATGATAATACTTTTAAGCCATGGATTGACATCTTTAATCAAAATGAATCGCAACCAAAGATAATAACAAAAGAGGCACAAGTTACATATTACAGATGAACAATCTTTTGTGTACAGTGAACTACTAAAGAACACTTTGCTCAATGCCCATTTCCCTCTTTTCCGTTTATTTACTGCAGTGCATGTTCTGCTGGTGTACGTTTAGGTATCGGTGACTCATGTGCTGACTTTATACAATGCATATCCCTCTCTGACACAAAAACACACGCACACACACACACACTGACACACAGTGTGTCTGCTGGCTCTTTCCATGCCTCCAACTACCCACATTGTGTTACATAAGTCTTACATAAACGCTTCAACGACACCTTTTTGGCAATGAACCTCACAACTTCACCTTTTCAGAACGCCAGAATGCACAGACAAATTGTTTGTACGGCTCTTTGACCCCTATCTTACACAAACAGCTGTATATAAACCAGTTTAAAAATCACAGGGAACATTAACTACACATTTGAATATTTAGTAGTTTTAGTAAAGAGGAATGCATACAAATGTAGTGGTGCATGCACAGAAGTGACACCAACGCCTCCTCATAGATTGGAATTTGCATTTATATTATTGCATTGGAGAAGGAATATATATATATATACATACATGTATATATAAACCAGAAATGTGAGAGATCCCTCACAGAGCATGCTCAGATTTAACAAAATGAATAACTTGAATAGGTCATCAGTCCTGAGAAATGCTTGAAGTTACATGAAGTGTCTGAATGCCACTGATAATTCCAGAAAAATCTTGCATTCCTCCTCAATGGAGTTTTTTCTTTGACCTAAGTTGCAAGTTAATTAACTACCAGTTTTAGAAAAACCCCTCCCTGTTGCTGATCTGCAGCCAGGCTCTTGGTTTAATAAAAATTTTGCACCTGAAAATATGACTGTTTTGTGTTGTCACGGTGTTGCAGTACTTTGGGCTTGCACTGATATTCCTATCAGAAAGAGCAGACTCGACAAGTCTTAAGCTGCTCCCTAGAGAGGAAAAACATGAGAGAGCAGCGGTGAATAGGAGAAGTTCACTACCATGCTGGCATGCACGTTCACATGGGTGAATACGGGTAAAAAGATACGACAGAGAGGAGGAGCAACCAGTACGTGGACAAAAGCTGACGGAAATTCATTTTGAAATGGCGTGTGCATTATTTTTAAAGTGAGAGTGGTCAGAACGGCAGCATCTGAACGTAGGGATGTACCTGTGTGTGAAGGCCAGGGCGTTCTGTGATGGCTCTGGACGAGGCTCTGAGTTGGGGGGGGTATCACAGATTTCATCTGTGCCATTGATATTTTCCATGGGCGGAGTCACAGGGGTCAGAGGTGATGCCAGCTCTCCTGCTGGAGACTCCTATAAGTGAAGGAAAGGTTGACACCATTACCGTCAAGCGTGCCGATTCTACAACACTCTTGTTTGTTTGTTTTTCCCATTAAGCTCGGATGCACTGTTAGATGAGATAAAGGACTCCTAATTTGTCATAATGAGGCATTGGTGACACTTTTTTGCACCCAAGCACAAAGATTTCTCCAAAAATCAGTGACAGAAGAAAGGCTATAGGTTATATAATGTATGACTGGAAGTTAAGTAGGTTCATGATTTAACATGAGCAAAACAGATATAGTTTAAAATCTACAATTTGATTAGTAAAAACCAAACCAAAAGATTCTATGCATATAGTGTCTTACTAAGTAAACATTTTTTTAAAATCCTTAGAAGAAAATTCCTTGGAAGAAAATTCAGAGAAATACATTTATTAAGGTCTGTGTATTTTCACTAGGTGGATGTGCAGAGAGTCTTAAAATTATAAATCTCTGACTTTTGCTTCATTTCAGATTTAGGCGTACGTTTGCAATGAGCAATTCTACATTCCCACAGGTCATTAAGCTAGCTGCTTCAGAAGTGGGAAATTACATAAGTACAGATTATTTCTTATCTTTATATCCCATACAACCACATAATTATTCAAGAGACAAATCATTTAGCTGCTGCACTCAAATAAAACAAAGCTATTAAGACCCTGTGTTAGAGCACAATGCAGTCGCACAAAGACACTGCTTGTATGCTTTTAATGGTGAGAAAATAGAGAGATAATAGGAAACTATGGCTGGTTTCACCCTCTGCACACCACATTCATTAGTGTATTACCTAATATCTTCTCATAAAACATTTCTACTGGGCTTGGTCTAATTAGAACCAGCCTATAGCATTTAGCTTAAGAGGTTGTTTCTCGCTTCATTTAGAGGAGAGAAATCAGAAGATCTGGGGTTAGAAAGAAAGCCAGCTGGCATGTGGGTGCAACTCTGACCGTCAGTGATGAAACAGAGCAGACAGCTTCAACAGACCACTGCAGGCTTGTGTGGTGAGGCTACAGCCTTCACAGTTACAGCCTGTCTACTTTCACCATCATAACACTGTTGTGGCCGGCGCACATGCAGCCTCAGCTCCTGGTGAGTGAGATCAAAGCAGTCCTTCTGGACCTTTTCTTCATTAGTTGACATTTTCTCATGGGAAAATACTTAAGCATCGAGGCCACTTCTAAAAACTCTGCTTACACTGTAACAAATGTATCCAGTACAATTATTTTATGCTTGTATAATGAAAATAAAAGGCTTGAGTCATTTGGATGAGGTCATTATGACATCGACATTTTTTGAGTCATCTGCATCTGTTTATATCTTGCCTTGTCTCCCTGATCTGTTTATGTTCTGACCAGAAAATGGTTGCTGTGTGTAAGGAGCCTACCTGAGAAGGAGATGTGGCCATCTCCATCTTCTCTTGACTCTTTTCCTTGGCGAGCCGTGCTGCTTCTTTGTACTCGGCAAACTTCTCTGCAAACTGGATAGAGAAGGCAACAAACAGCATGGACTGTAAATCCTACAATGCTGAGGATTAATCTGCTCTGTAAAACCATCTGTGAGAGAGGGGGGGGGGGGGGGGGGGGGGGTCAGCATGGCTAGCTTTGAAGGATAGCAAGAAGCTGTTGCCAATAACAACCTGCAGCTGGACTTAAGAGAATTACTCAGAATTCCCCACAACCAAACTAGGTCTCTGCTGGTAACCTTTACACTGCAAATAATAAGCCAGCAAACACACAAACACGCCAAGTAAACTGACGGCGCCATTGTGCCCTCCTGTGATCAGAAGTTTTCTGTGACTGAAGTTGATCTCCGGGGTTATTTTAGTCAATAGCATGGACACATCGAAGCCGCCCGAAGTGGTAAGATGAGCTCAGCTTGGGGGCTTTGAGCAAATATAAACACTCCCAAGCACACACACCAGCACACTTCCTTGATGTCCCTTCAGGGTGGGGTTCATCACTCTCAATCACTGCTTCCTCAGTTTTACAGAGTAATTCACTATACAGTTCTGCAGAGGGCTGAGTGGTGAGGAAATCCAATTGAAGACTCGGTTGGAGCCGGCCTTCTGTCTGCCATTAGCGGGGTGGCAAAAAGTAACTTAATAACATTCACTTCAGTGGAATATAATAGTTGTGGTACAGAGATTTAAATACAACATTTCTCTCTATAAGTGCTTCAGGAGTGTTAGCCCCGTGGTAATTTGAGAAGTGAATCCAAGTGGTAAAACTTTACACCGAATAAAAAAGTCTCTAATTGTTTGGCAGGTGTCTGCTAATTTGCAAAGGTAGTCCTCAGGCACAGTTCTCGTCTCCTCAATTTGGCAATAATCTGACAAAATTGAAAAAGCTTTGGATCATTTTTGCATAATACTTTTTTCCCTTTCTAGTCCGGGGTCATGATATAAACTTCTCAGTAAACTGAGCTTATAAATGCACCCGATCATGCAGCTTTAAGCTTTTTCATTGAAGTCACATGAGGATAAAGATGAACGCTAACCAACTGACATTTGTACAAGGTCACGGTAAGATTCACTGGCATACTGCAACACTGTTCATTCTAAAATTGGTTTCCTTCAGTCACTTAATTAGATGAATATGAACATGGTCGCCAAGCAGAGATCAGTTACCAACAGACATCTTCTAACAGCACTTTGCTCACTACAGAAACTTGAAAAAAAAAATAGACACTGAAATATGTTTATATATATAGATAGATTACGTTATTCATCGTCAAAGGGAAATTTGGAGATGTTGCTGTACTTTTTGAAAAGTTTTTCTTAAGTGATGCACCAAAACTCTAAGTCATATACTAAGAGAAAAAAAGAAAAAAAACCTTCCTACTGAGATTAGTCTGGTACCATGACCTGGGTAGTTCTCGTTTACATTCATGATCCTCCTGCTGTTTTCACATATGATGAACAAAATGCGGATTAGAACAATTTTCCTGGATTTCATCCTTTTGTAAAATGATTTGAGGGAGTTCAGGACATCAGCAGTGGCTGCTTAGAGAGAAAGACCATCATCCCCATAACACCATTAAGGCCTAAAGACTACACGACATTAATATTCAGCGCACAACGAGAAACAGGAAATGTCCTTAATGTTTTAAATATTACTCATTAAATTGCTTTCCTGTCTGTAATACTGAGTCGGGTCGTGATGACTGAGGGTCTGTGTGTCTGAGCTGTCCTGACAGTTGGGACGTGGTGAGCCTCCCGTGTTCATGGCAGAGCTCAATCACACGGAAGAAGTGAGTAATCACTGCGTTATAACTGAGCGTACTCGTTTTAATGACTTTCATAAACACATGCTGAAAGCCCCATAAATTCAGAGAAAATGGTTTGAATTCAATCTTCTCTCAGGGAGAGGGAGGAGGAAAAGAGCAGCCGGCCGGTAACCGATGGGGGGGCTTACACACACGGGAGCAGAGGTTCGGGTGGATGGGCTGTACCTTTGACAGATGGTGCTCAGTGGAGAAGCCCAGTCCATAGACGGTGTTCGCTCGACTGTCTGCCCACTGTCCAAACTTCTGAGACGTCTTTGTGAACGTCATGTTGGGACTGATGGTGCTGTTGATTATTGCCTGAAAAACAGAGCCAGCTCCCTTAATATTTTCCATGGTTTGGTTTGTTCAGATGTTTATTCAGAATGAAAGAAAAAAATCAAATGTACATTCTGAAGGTAAAACCTTTTGTTGGCTGTAATTGTTGGTTTGTAATATATATTTTTTAATTAATCAAATGTATTGTCCTCTAGACAAATCCCAACGTAATAAGTCGGTAACAGCGATTGTGGGATTATCACACACATGAATTTTGCTTGAACTCCACAATGCTTAAATATTGAAGATTAAAACCACCCCCTCCAGATGTATCACTTAAAATGGTTTAAATGGAGCATTTACTATGAACTAAATATTTATTTGCTTAAAAAAATCTAAATAAAATAAGAAGCATGTCTGAAAATGATTCTGTATCCAAAGTTCACCACTCTGCTTAAAAAGTTACATGAAATCCAAACAGAAACTTTTACACCTTTTACATATTTCATATTTTGCACGGTTGCAAACATTTCCACAATAGTTGCTATAATAACATTCATATCCAATACAATCAGTCAGCTACATGTTTGCTTGGCTGACATGCTTGTTCATTGCTGAGTTTATTTTAATTCTACTTTCTATTCACTGGCATCGTCCAGTGAATAATCACAACAGCACCACTCTGCCAATTGAACTGCTTCATCATACTATTTATACACTGTTTGAGTAGCACTTGGGAAGTATCAGTAACAGTACAAGTAACAGCTATGGGAAATTAAAGAACATGTTTGCCATAAAATTAACACAAAGAATATTCAGGATTTTCTTTCCAATGATGTACAAACACAATGACAAATATATAAACGGAACAGTCTCTGCTATATCCTCTTATCTAAAACTGAAAGCTACCTCTGAAGCGTATATAATTGAAGTGCCATTGTTAAATAATGCTAATGCAGAACAGTGATGGCTGATCAATTAATGGTGTTGTGTAATTATTCCTGTTGGCATCGCTACATGAGCTTGGAAAAAGTAGATAGTGTATTTGTTATACAATCTAGATATCTGCTGGATAACGATTGAAGTTTACTCAGCTGACAATCAAAACATGGATAACACCGAACCACACAGCAACACCGAACATTTCTGTGAGATTGGTGCAGAGAACACAACCATCCGACCACGACAACAGTCAACAACAAAACAGAAATAGTTCAGAAAAACAGAATTTTTTGACAAAACCCAAGAAATGATGACATTTCAAATAATTTAGCCACTCGGGAAATGAAGAATTTGTCAAAAATCCACTAAACAAGAGAAAAACACAAAGTTTCACACACCACACTTCGAAAGTATTCTGTTTGGCTGTTCTTTTTTTAAATGTCACATTTAGAAAGTAATGTGTTTGTTGGTTTTGCTGTTTTTTTAGACGTACCGGTAGATTAATTTACTTCTGAAATGTTTTCTAAAATGCTCCAGTATTTTTGGATTTTGTGCGAATGGTTCACACATACATTTTGGTCACTGACTGCAGGATACAGCAGGACTTCACGTTTTCTCGGCCCTGTTGTGAACTTCTCCCCACATCCTTGCTGCTAACTTTTCATGTTTCTGGCCTAACATTCTTCTCCCTCTTGTCATGTTTTATTAATGGACCTTCACCTCACTTTTCTCTATAAATAATAGACAATGTGTGTGAGTAAGTGGTTGGTTTTTAATCTGGCTTTAATCTGGCTTTGGTTATGCCGAGCTACCTTGATCACACCATATTCATCAGATATGCTGCCTCTCTAATGAAAACACCCCAAGAAACGACTGCGGCCTCGGTCCAGACAGACACATAAATACAGACATCTGTGTGCGCGAAATGATACATGAGCCCTAAATCCTGGGGTACTCATCAAATCTGAGCTCTTTTATGATGTGTCAGTGCATTAGCGACAAGCACAGAGCTTATGAAAAGCATGACCACACAGTGGACCCCAGAGCCAGTAAAATCTCCTGGAAGCGGGACGTGTGATTGAATGGCGCATGAACATCTCTGATGGCAGAAGTGGAGAAGGATGGCGCTCGCTGCTCACCTTGGTGCCGTCCAGGCTGATGATGCGGTACACGTTGCGCGTGCTGTCGTAGAAGTAGGAGACGGTGACGGCGTGCTTGCTGGTGGGCAGCCAGTTCTTCTTGGTGTTGGGGTCGATCTGGAAGACGTGGGCCCTCGTGCTGTAGATGGGTTGCTCCCTGAAGGGAACAAAAAAGAAGTGGTGAACCTCTTTGTGGCGCAGCACCAGCGTCTCGCCAAGCCCGCCGCCAGAACCCAAACCCCCGTTGCCCACGGGGGAGTCAGATCGACCTGGCAGCCTAATCACCAACTCGCCACCTTCCATAGCTAAACTGAAGAGAGGGGTCACCACGGGCTACCAACTACACTCATTGTCTGGCATACATAAGTAATAAGCTGACCTAACTGTCAAATTACACCATGCTCGTTGGCTCCCGTACTTCCTCCCATATTTACTCAGCTGGCTAAATGCACGCAGCTATCTGCGTTAGGCAGCCCCGTCTCTCTCTGCTCAGATATGGGAATGCCTGCAGCTCGGAGTGAGGGTCACACAGGGGAACACGGGGGGGAAAGGAGAGGGTTTCAGGCTAAATATAGACAGTGGGCCATGGTTAAGTACTGCAGACACACCCCACGGAGCTGCGCTTTGCTCCAACACCGGCACACATCAAGCACACGCGCTAACATGAAGGGGGTGCTACTGTAAAGCTCTGTTCGACTGTGTTATTTTTTTTTAAACTTAATTAGAGACAGGGTAGCTTGGAATCTTACAGTGGTGCTGTTTCGACGGGGATTAATGTCGTACTGATGTCTGCGTGACCGAAGCCAGCGCTCAGACTCATCACCATTAGTGTTGATTAACAACTTGAGCTGTCTTTTATTTTAGTTTTTTTTTGGACAACCATTGACCCCTCATTATTGGCCCCCACTTTAGCCATTATTCATTTAACAACCCCTCCACTCCAACCCCTGAGTTTGCCCTCATATATTGCACCACTGTTGGGATTTCTTGGGTAATATCTACAGTCATTACACACACATACACACACACACACACACACACACACACAGAGAAAAGGCTGGGTGCTGTGGGAGATATTCTGAGCTGGCAGCACTGGCAGAACACGAGATAGAGAAGTGCTTACACTGCACTGTGGGGGTGATGGGGGGGACATCAAAGGCTCGGTGTATAAATGAATATTAAAATCCAACAGCAGCACCCCCTCCCCCGTGTGTGATTAGCCAAGACTGGTACAGAATGAAAAAACACGAAGACAGGGGGACAGAGCAGGATTTTAGAGAAAAAGAGAATGACGGGGAATTTGGGAGTATGGCAAGTCAGAGAGTGAATCTGGGATGATGAATGCTGCTCCACAAAGCTGCCGGTGGACTGCTGCGCGCAAATTATCATAATCATCGACAGCAGTGCAAGTGGCGGTACTGTGAGTCATTTCAACTCTCCCCCAGCACAGATCATGCAAGCACGGTCTGTCCATATGATCAGTGCAGTACCCGCTTAGCAACTGGCAGTGTCTCTCATTGCATAATTTTGCGCCGTGGAAAAAATCTTGCTGTTCTCGTTGCACGATGGTGTGTGCGTGTGTGGACGTATCAAACACAAAAAAGTCTCTGTTCTTCATTTTTACATGAATGTTTATGCCAAGGAGCTCGGTTCCAAAATTACTCCCACCAATTCTGAAAAAAAACAACAAAAAAAAACAAACAAAAGTACTCACTCCCACAGCTGAACATTGAAAAGGTAATCTTCGTTTCACTTACACAAAAACGATAGCATGATAGGCTTCACATCCATGCTAAGAGTGTGATATAGCTTTCAATTATTGCATAAAGTTTCTTTTTATGTGTTGACCCTGTTTTGCTCCAGCTGGTAACTCATTTTGAGCTAAATAAACATGATAAAATGCTACAGAAAAAGGTGTCTGGTGCCCTTCTAAGTCCAGCAGGGCATGAAAGAAGTTTGTAGGAGCTATAAGAAAAGGAATAAAAATGGGGGGGGGGAGCAGAGAAGAAGTGAGAACAGCAGGGTCATTTTAGTGGGAAAAGAAAGAGTCTGGAGGAGAGAAAGAAGAAGGAGAAGGAGGTATTTGGTATGCGGGGTGCACTGCGTGACACAAGGACAGCTGATGGAACGTGAATGTTAAAACAGAGAGAGAAGGCAAGTGATGGAGAGAGGAAGGGTGATGCAGTGAGAGAAGACAGGAGGGATGAGGAAAATGTGGAGGAGGTGATGAATGTAGGAGAAGCTACAGAGTGAAGATGAATCCACCCATGGTTCGGGAAAGGATGGAGGTAGTGGGAAGCTCCAAGTGTGGTACAAGCAATTATGTGAACTGTAGCGCTTCAGCTCCAAACTGAATGTCACGAACTGAAAAAAGAAGGAAAGTTTGGGGAAAGATGTCAAACTCTTCGCTGACTTCTGCAGAATGATCATGATGGATACAAGAATGATGGATAGATTTGAGAAGAAGAGACATGTTATCCTTACTATAAACTGAATAACTACTGTTGTTAATGCTTCAATTGTACTGTGTACTGTGTGATTGAAAGTAAACTGAAAAGGACAAACAAATTAGTATATATATGTATATAGTTTATTTGTAAACTACTCTTATGCAAGTTCGAATAAAAAAATAAATAAACAAAAGACAGGCATATTGAATTAAAAGTGAGGAAATAAAAGTGGAGGCTCTAAAGCAAGCAGTGCTGCATTATGTCCAGGCAGCTGATTCCATAAACTGAGTGTTTCAAACAAAGACCTCAGATCCTCTGGACAGCTAAAAGCAAATGATAATATCTGAGTCATTACAAGATGTGCTCCTTAACTGTTTACAGTGAGTCTGAACTGAATTTGTGTACTCAATTAGAAATAATATTGGGAACACCCTGGACATCATTGGAACAGCTCCTTTAGCTTATTTCATTGTAATATGTCTGTAATGGACCTCCCCTCCCCTATAGGTACTGGGAAAATATGCAAACTTGATAAAGGCCAGGCCAATGGCACTGCACCAAAGTGATCGCTTATCTTGATTATCGTATTAAATACTGAGTTGTGCAAACGTTTTAGACAAAGATGGGTGGACCAATTCCTGTTTAGATATCACACACACACTGGAACATGTCTACAATTCCAAAATTGGCAACAGGTATTCCCAACAGTCCCTATTTTGATTCTGGGTTTAATGTCCTGATGTGAATCCACTTAAAGCTGCAGAATGGAACCAAAAAGCGTTAGCATATTTTACCTCAAATTGCCATGTCTTATTTCATACTTCAGTGTGTCCTCTTTGGTTTTGCAGCTGCCCCTCTCTCAGGAAATGATAGTGAGACAGAGCTATAATGAAACTGCGAGTCTCTTGAGATCTCGCTTTCCCTCCTACCTCTTCCACCACTTCTCTCTTGAGAAGTTGTCATAATTTCTAGAGAGTTTCATTAACACGACGGTGTAGATACTGAAGAAGGTCTTATTTAAAATAGAGTGAGGTCATTAACGCGACAGCTCCCTGTTGCTCCATCTGTTGGGAGAGGTCGGATGGTCTGGATGTACTTACACACAAACACACACACACAGTCAGCAGACAACTAAGAGAGACAAAGTGAGTCTATCTGTGCTGTGATTGTATTTGCAAAAGGAAGTGAAAGCATAGAGATTGTTGATAGCCATCTCCAGTTCTTGTCCACTGTTCTGTGAGCCCTTGCCATTGGAGGGGCAGCAGACTTTGCATTGACTCAAAAGGCCGGAAGTGAAATATGACTATCTGTCTGTGACATAACTGTAAGACAGGCAGCCACACAACAGACCCACACCTGTGTAGGTCCCCTCATCTTTTCTGCGACTGCATGGATTCCGACTTAATAACGCACTGTAAGCAGCGTAGTGTATTGATTCACAGATGATCAAATATTCCACTATGGATCGATTGAGTCACCGAGTCCGTTGCATAACTGTAACTTAGTCACCAGTATGGCAGAGCCCAGTGGAGGAGCCAAGCTGAGTGGGACATGGCTGAATGGTGTGCTGCCCACGCCGTAGGACGGCAGAGTGGGCGACTGGGAGCTCTCCTGTGTATTGTAAATAGTTAATGCAGGAGTTTTGGCTGATGCCTTGAAATCACACCATGCCTGTGTCACATCGCTAACCTCCTACTGTGTAATTAATCACAATGAACTGCAGGAGACAGCCTTTAATGAACGGCAAGCTGGGGGAAGCGGACCGCTGAGCTCAGGGTTAGGGGACATGCAAATGAGTAGTGCTGTGTGCGCACCAGGATTCTTGTGGGTGATTCACTTATGGGTGCCTGTGGTTGGGGGTGTGTATGAAAGCAATTGCTGTGCTGCCATAGAGACAGAAAGCTGCTTTCTCTCAGAAGAGCCTAGAGCAGCTCTTTAGCTTTACTGACATTTATCACTTACTGACAATACACTGATCAGGGTGGAACATGATGTTCATTTACTCATTTAAATAAACAAATCAAACATCTGATTGAAAGTATTTCAGACTAAATGTTTCTGTAGCACATGCATTCTCTCAAAGTTACATAACTGTCTATAAAAAATTTGTGGGACACCATGAAACCTCAGGATTGTTCTCTGTGTTCTGAGACGTAAAATAAAGAATTAAAGAATCCCAAAGACGGTAAACTTTGCGTTGTTTTAATGGGTGAATCCAAAGTATCTAGAAAATCCAAGGGTATAGTGGCATTTAGGCATTTGAAGCAGAATTACTGGGCATCTTGATCCAAAAAGTTTGATGATGAACTTCTGCACCAACAATTTTTGTGCATAGTTAAAGCAAACTGGGCCCAAAATAAAGGCCTGTTTCTGTTTCTGATTCACCAAACCTCATTCTCCAGACAGTAACACTGTAATGATTTGATAATTCGTTTGCTTTTTTAATGTCTGGCACACTTCAGATTACACTTCAGACAGCCATTCTTCACACCGATTCACCTAAAGCTTGATGGGAGGTCATTTATAAGACAGATAAATAGATCTTAAACCTAAGATCCAGATCATGATGCCTGCTGTAGCATCTGTAGCGGGGAAATTCATATCATTAGAGGCTAATATGTCTATAGAAATATGATAGAGAGCTCAGTCAGTGAATGGGATGATATTAACTACACTTACCCCATTGCTGTGGTTGCGATGATCGGCGACACCTGACCACTGATCCCCTTCTTGCTGGCGATCAAAACGAATCTGCTGGGTTGGCTGCTGCGTACGAAGATCTTCTCTCTATAGGACAGCCTTCAATGTATCCCCGTCGGTGCGTCTGCAGGAATGTGTTGACAACTGCTCCATTCCCCCCTTTCCCCTGTCACCGCGTGAAATCACACATACATGTCGTTTTGCACATGGCACGGGGACGAGGTCTTCTCCTGCTTCTGCGCGGGGCGCGGGGCGGTGGAGCGATGCCGTCTGAGATCCGGCGCAGATGATGGAGGTCCGACTGACGCCCCGTTGTTGTCGTGTAAATTAGAGCTCCTTACTGGCGGGGTGGAGAGGCGCTGCTGCATGAACTGGGAGAGACAACCCTCACTTAGCAGAGCAGATAACAGCATCACTGTCCACGTCTCTCCCTCTCTGCCTCATAGCCAGTTACCATAGGCTCACGGGCTACACCCCCACTCCGCTCCAGTCCACAGTCATTCCACACACTCTTTATTAGCTGTGCGTTTCTTAATAAAGTAATCTGTTGTGCTTCTGCAACATCAGACCCCCCCCACGTCTAACCCCCCCATGTATTATCATGTGACAAATACTGTTATGTGGAGACATCTGCACAAATTGAATTATCCTGCAGTATGTGCCTGGCTGATTTAAGCCTATCCACAGCGCCCAGTTCGCACCCCGCCCCCCAAAGCTCCACATCTGGATGTTGCATCCGCTTCCCTCCTACTCAGTTCATGACAGTATTGAACTGCCGACGTCACACTCCGTCCTCCGCAGTGACGTCACTCTGTGCTCCGGGGACTGATGCCATTTATGCGTTTTTTATGTTTAAAATACGTTTTACGGGAGAGTAACAAACCATGTCAACCAGACTGCAAAATGATGACAAACAAAAAAACTCTTCTATGAGTAACCCAGCTTTCTATTAATACTCTATAGAAGTCCGGGAAACAGCTCAGCTCTGAAGTCAGTATAAAACTACTGTTCTGTTCTTGTTCTGTACTTTTTTTTAAATGTCAGGTAAACACAATAATCTAACAATAGCGAGATGTGAGCCAAGGTGTGAGAAAAATAATCCACATTTAATAACCAGAAGAACATATGCAAATGCAGTAATCTAAGGCAAATGACGTTGCATATAGGGTTGACGATTATATGTGATGACATTAGTTCTTGAGTTTAGTTTATTTCAAAGAATTAGTCATATCTATTGTGCCAGGAGTTTGAACACAAAAGAGAGATTTTTTTAAAGCAGCTGTGTTTTGTTTATCAAACTAGCTTCTCTGAAATCCCCACAGCAAAAGCCTGGAGCTCCCCATCACACAGCGGATGAAAGACAAGATGATAATCAAGTTTGGCGATTTTACTGAGCTTATCAGATTCACTGCCCACATTCAAATGAAACTCATTTGGATATACAGCGTATTGAAATTTTAAAGAGTATGCACACGCAGCCATGTTATTGTAGATTTATTTAACCAACTTCACATAGAAATATCCTTGTTTTTTGTAAAATTCTACTTAAAGGTACATTTGCCTTTTAATAAGCAAAAGAACGCGTCCCCTTTAAATCGAATTCAATTACGTCATGGCTTCAATGCGGAAGTTTGGCCGCAGGAAACCAGCACCTCCAGGTTTGTTTACATGTGACATTCAATTTATTAAGTTGAGCGTGTTGTGTGGATTTTTTAAACATGTTTTTATTAGTTTTAACATTTGATAATACGTTACCGAGGACAAACCCCTCATTTAAATCACAAGAGAACGTTTTTGTTATTAGTTTTGGATTGTGAACTTAGCCAGGGAGGTGTGCTGTGGGACGATGGCCTTCAAACAGCCGATGATGCCTCAGGAAAGACTCAGCTGACAGAGACGTAGTTGGAAAAAAAATTACCTTTTTTTAGAAGCATCAAGCTTTATTCGAGTCAGGGGCAACTAGTGAAGGCACATCCGGTGGCAGCTTTGCAATGGCAGCTGCCAGCGCTTTGCAGATGCCAGAACGCACAACTGAGGTGTCCCGGGACTCGTCTTCCGCCTAAACGGCGGTAGAAGTCATGGCAACGCGGTGGCAGCACCTTACGGACCCTTCCAGCTGACCTGGACCTTTCTGTACCCGGGCACCCCGTGGCATCTGCTCACCGGAAGTGCTGTCTCCAGTTGCCCCCCGGCAACTGGCCTGTTTTATTTTCCACCAGGTCTGTCTCCGAAATACAGCACCATGCAGCAGATCTGGAGAGGTCTCGAAGCCAAAATGCAGTAGAAGTATCTGTAACTTATTTTACAGGGTTTCAGACTGTCCAAACACCCTGGCATATCTGGTTTCGGTTATCTCTCCTAATGTTCCCCCCACATGGGGTTAGCTCAGTGTCCCCTCACATGGGCGCTCGCAGCCGTTGGTTTATCCACTTTCCCTTAACCACTGACATAGGCAAATGTTCTGTAGACACTACATGGTTAGTTTCAGCTCTGTGTGATCGCCGGTAAGTTTCGGTTTCCTCAGTGACTTTTTTTTTTAATCCGTGAAGCGTCTTTGAGGGGGCATGGAGAGCAACAATGCATGTTGGCTGTGACGTTGCTGGAGTTGAGTCTAACAGGTTTCATCTCCCTCTCGATGCGTCTCTGTTCACGTCGGAACGTCAGTGAAGTTGATGCACGATGTTCCAGCGCAACTCGGCTCCCAGGGGGTGGCCGAGCTACGGGAACGGCCTGGGCCCCCCTCCTCAGGCCCCCCGGAGCTACGACTACCACCACCAGAGCCAGCCGGCTGCCAGCAGGTGAGCCTGAGCAGGGGCCCACAGGGGCCACAGGGGCCCGCAGGGGCCAGGCTGCAGGCCTGAGCTGTCCAGCTGCAAAACAAGAAGAAACCTTAACTTTTGTAAAAGTAGTATCTGATATAGTGACTGATATTTTGAGCAGAACTCAAACATTTAATTAAATACGTGGATTTCTGTGAAGTTTATGCAAAACTTGAATGACTGTTTTTCTTAATTTAATCAAGACAAGATGTCGACTAGGACATTTGAATAATTGAAAATGAGTGGGAGACTGATTTGGGTGTGTTTAAACTTGTTTGTGTCTCTATCTGTTCTTTAATCGAGGGGAATAAACAGTCTTTAACACGGGTCCATTTACCAGGAAGTGAAAGCGAATGGTGAAGGCAGGACCTTCCTGTAACGCAGCGTGCCGTGGCAAACTGTTTGTGTTCCTGGTGTCTCTCCTCAGCCTATCGGTGGTTTATTTGACTGCAGATATTACCCTGCTGGATCACTGTGCTGCTGCTATTTATAGACTACTTTACGGATACAAGTGACAGTTGCCTCTGTTGTCTTGGTTGGAAAGTGCGAGTATAAAGAGAAAGCAGGAGAATGAGGAGGCCCGTTTGTTCATAAAGCTAACATCTCTGACGGATCACGTAGCATCCAACGTGTCTGTGTGTGTGTATTCTGCTGTGCGGCACCAGAACGAGAAGAAATATTCACTTGTGACCAACATGTTGTCATTTATTCATCACTTACTATTTGTATTTTTTACATGTTTTACTTTTTCTGAGCCATTTTCTGCCTGTGTGTTTTTGTAAGCTTTCGAGTTCTGGAACTGCAGAGTTTGCCTCCTTATGAGTGGATCCCTCGACCGTCCACCTCACCGACTGTTCCTCATATGACCAATACACGCAAGTACGATATTTTAGCATCAGTTGATGACTAATGAATCTGTTTTTCTTCCTCATATTTCCTTAAACTTCCCTTTTATGTCATGAGAATGTTTCTTTGAAGAGTCTGCACAGGCTTATTGGTCATTCTGTTTCTTTCTTTAGGAGGCAGAATAATTCCTACAGTCCCTACACAGTGAAGCGCCAGCGCATCGACTCCTCAGTAGCCCCTCCTCTGAATTGGGCTCCTCTTCCTCCACGTCCTGACAAACTAGTGGCAGAGTCTTCAAGATCATCCGTCACTGGTTTTGATGACTATCGTCCCAGTCCACGCTTCAATCCCCGCCTTCCAGAGCCTTCTGTCCCGGGAAGCTCCAGCAGCCTCAAGCCCTCTGCTAAAGGAAAGGTAACCTCTGAGGGGCGGGTCCACCGGAAGTGTCAACTTGATTTGATTGGTTTGTTGAGCCATCCGTGTGCTTGTGCTCTCAGCTGAGTATTCAGATGGAGGAGTTCTTTGAGGCTTGTCAGCAGCAGCTTTCAGATCTGGAACGGAAAGAGATGTGTCGCGCTCAGCTGCAGGAAGACATCCAACAATGCTACCCAGGTGTGTGTCAGAGCTGCAGAAAGCCTTTGCTCTGACCCAAGCACTGTGCCTGTTTTCTGAAAGTGTGCGTTTTTCCCAGAGGGGCGGCTCTATTTGACCGGATCCTCTATGAATGGATTGGGCTGTCGGAGCAGCGACGCCGACCTGTGTCTCGTCATCACAGGAACGGTGAGCATCTGCAGCTTTGTGCTGTCAGCGTCGTCCAAATGAACGTGTCTTTCCCGGCCAGTTCCTCCTGAAGGCATGGGTTTGGTTTTTGTTTCAGAAGAGACCCGATCCAGTTTCTGTCCTGTCTCAGCTGAAACGATCCTTCAGATCCCTCAGTAAGTGGACTTTCAGCCATTTGTTTGCTAAGCTGAAGGCTTTAGATCTGTGGTTATTTCCCCATCACGGTCAGCAGACTTAATGCTGTGGGTAAATGTTGTGAGAAAAACCATTTTTATCACACAAAATTCAAAACTGGATAACATTTGTAGCCACTCTGTTGTGTTGGGGGTGGGGGGTGGGGGGGCTTGCCTGTCATTGTCCTCTAGGTGGAGCTGTGTACTAACGGTTACAGAAGATCAAATAATTATTCTATCTCATTCTGCGTATCTTTTTTAGCATATATAGAGAGGATTCAGCTGATCAGAGCTAAAGTGCCCATCCTCAGGTTCAGAGAGACAGGCAGGTAGGAGCTAAATAGTTGCTAAAGCTTGTCTTTAACGCAACCACTTTATCAGCAGCTGTTCTTTGGTGCATGATTCATTTTGCTTTATTTGTCATAGTGATCTGGAGTTTGATCTGAACATTAACAACACAGTGGGTATCAGAAACACATTCCTCCTGAGGAGCTACGCCAACGGTGGGTGGAATGGATAACAAAGCCTGTATTTAACAAAACAGGATCACGTCAACCATTTTCCTGTGACTGAATCGTCTGAGTTCCTTTTTCTTTTCCCCTTTGTTTGCCATTTGTCTCTCAGCCGATCTCAGGGTGAGGCCCATGATTCTCGTCGTGAAGAAATGGGCACGGCATAATCAAATCAATGATGCCAGCAAAGGGACATTAAGCAGCTACACGCTGGTGCTGATGGTCCTTCACTACCTCCAGAGTTAGTGCTCTCACACATGCACCGGAGTTTCCTTCCATTTGCCCTGACTTACAGGAAACCTGAACTTATTCCTAATGTGTTGTTTTCTCATTAGACCTTAAGGAACCTGTCATTCCATCTCTACAAAGGGATTACCCTGTAAGTGTCTTTTTCTCATCTGTCACCCAACCAGGAAAGAATCGTTCAAAAGTTTCAGTCTTTATTCTTTTTTTTTTTCTTGTGACTTGATTTCTAGGAGTGTTTTAATCCCAGCATCGAAATAAACATGGTTCCAGAAGGACCCAAACACATTCCACCCTACAATTCCAGAAATCGGTCCTCTCTGGGGGAGCTGCTGGTGGGCTTTCTCAGATACTACGCCATAGATTTCAGGTAGGTCTCCAGGCATCGAGCAGCAGATGTATTTGTGGCCCGTCTCGCTACTCATGTTCTCGTCCCTCTCGTTCTTCATCTCGCGCTCCTCCTGCCAGCTTCTCCTCCCTCTCCGCTCCTCCGTCTGTCCTCACCTTCCTCTGTCCCGCATCCTCCTCTCTGGTTTCATGTGTCTGGCAGAGGGGCAGGAGCAGGTGGGACCCTTGGCCTTACCCAGCACTAACATGACATGCCATGATCCCTGTGTCTGCAGCATGGAGGAATTCAGACCCCCCCGCCTCACATCTGAAAAGCTAAACTCAAACTTGCTACGCTGATGTGCGCAGATTATTTTTTTTTACTTCAAAAGTATCAAACACTCAAACCAGCTTACAGACTCTGAATGATTTAGCTCTCTGGCCTCTCTGGGGTTTTTTTGGGTTCACAAACAATGGGTTTAAAAAACTTGCCAATTTGCACGTTGTCTGTTGGCGCATCAGGTGTCTTGATTTACTTTTAATTGTATTAAAGTAAGCCTCATTTTTAGAATTTAGGGTTTGACACCTGGCAACTATTTAGCTGAAATCTGTTATGACCACCACCTGAATGGCCTCAGATATTGAGGGGACACCAAGTAACCCCATTGTTGTTGTTTCTGTATCTCGCAGGTGGGATCAGCAGGTGATTTCTGTGCGAGAAGCCTCAACCTTCCCCAAGGACAATTCTCTTGAGTGGAGAAACAAATTCATATGTGTGGAAGGTAAAAACACTGCTCACAAACTCATCATTTTTGTAATCTGGAATGAGCATTTAGAAAAAAAAATAAAGAAGTAAAATGTCCCATTTCATGTAAAGTTTGCAATTTTAAACAGTTTTCTGTGTTTTTTTCCCCATCGAAAATATAGTTAAAAAAAAAAAGTTCATTAGTCCTTTCAAATCTAGGAATTATCCAGGAATCTATCAGGTTCAGCTGTGTCCACAGCTCTGTTTCAGCAACTCTTTGTGTTTCAGAACCGTTTGAAAGAAATAACGTGGCCCGCGCTGTCCACGAGAAGATCAAGTTTGATACCATTAAAGCTCAGTTTGCAGAGGTAATCCAGGCCTTCACGTGCCTCTGCTCCCTGGAACTGTGCAGATCTGATATGAGAACCTTCATATTCCTCTGACTTTTTCTCTCTGTGTGTTGTTTCAGTCATACCGGATACTCAGGCTGAGCGGAGACCTGAACTCTATCCTCCCTCTTAGAACCATCATTAACAAGGAGTCAAGCAGGAGATAAAAGGCTTCCCTGCTTAGATGAGCTGCCTGCTGTCTTCTACCTCAAGACAAGCCTGTACCGAGAAAAGACGCGCCGCCTTTAGGACGTCCAGAAGGAGGAGCCTGCCCAGCTCTCAGTCGGACAGGCGCTGGGACTGCTCAGTCTGGACTGACACAGTCACAATATTGTGCTGTCCTGTGGCAGATCTCTAAAAAGATCGTTCCTCTTCCTGTTAGAAAGTTTGGCTGGTGATTTTCTGCTCAACAAAACAGGATTTAAATAATTTGTGGAGTGAAGCCAGACGGCTTTTTAGGTGATATCCTGTCACTGAGGCCGTGGACAGAGATAAAGATACTTTTTTCTTTTTAATGTTGCCATATGACACGTAAATTCCAGTATTTCTGCTTGAGAGACAGTCTCTCAGTGTCCCGAAGATGCCAAAATTAAATAGGTATTGACTCTTTGCTAGAATTATGTAAATACCCTCTTTTCTATATTTATAGGTCAGCACTGTCAAACTTTAAGTGGGGTCATTTTTTGTTTGGTATTACTGCAGCTTTTCACCATCTTTTGAGTATCTGAGCTTCCCTTTAAAGTGATGTAATGTTTAGGATGAAATGATCTGTGACAGGGATGAAAAGGGGATCTACTGGATTCTCCCATTCCTTTAAGTTTTATATCACATTTTGCATTACCTTTTACTGACTGGTGTCAAACCTGTACAGCCGTTTATTGGATTTGCTTTGCCATTGTGGTCATTTTGAGTAAACTTGATACATGTTTTGAACAATGCTTTGAAATGCTTTTGAATATGGTGTTTCTTTCCTCTTTGGATTCTATTTCCCATCTCTTTTTGTACATTTTGTACATTACTGAATTTTGATGCTAATTTAAAAATAAATCTAAAGGTTTATGAGAATGTTCCTTTTACATTTCTGTGTTCTCTGTGAAATAAAAAAAGATATAAGTTCTTCTGATAAACTCTTTAAGCTGTACACGTTTGGCACATCGTTCATGTTTAACACGTTTCACGGATTGTTGTGCAGCTTTGCTTTCAACAATCACAAGAAACTGCCAAGTATAAAACAACATCTGCCCTAACATTCACATTTTCAAATCGATGTTGAGTAACATCGACATCAATGTGTTTTACCTGTCTTTTGCGCTTCTTTGTGTTAGTTCATCTTTCAAACACTGCTTTTGTTTCCTGGATGCGGTGCTTTTCAAATGTCCTCTTTTTATCAAGTGTTTTCATCAGCTTCCACTGCCACAAGGTATGTTGGTAAAATTTCTTGATGTGGTTTGACAGATGATTACTGCTAGTTTTATGACTTCTGGATGAGGGGGACCACTGCAAGGAGGCAGGTATGTTACAAAACATGCGCCTGGCTCTGATTACTGTTGCCACCAGCAGCAGGGGGACCAGGGGTACTGTTTCAGCACAAGGCCTATATTTAACTTTGAAGGGGATCCTGCACTTAAAGCCACAGTTGATCTCCGGCACAAATATTAGCATAACATAATAAAGCTGTTGTCACAAGATCAGAAAATTAAAACATGCTTTCCTGACTTTAGCTTCAGGGTGAGATGATATTGACAGCTATTGATATCTACCCACTCACACTACTTTACACCTCTTTATCTACACTCCCCTCTTTTCATTCCCCGCTCTATTTCTGGCGCCCGCTGAGTCAGATGGACAGCTCTCAACTTAGCATGACACAAACAGGCAGGCCAACTCGCAATTCAGAGAGACTACTCTAAAATACACAAAAAACAACGGCATTGGGGTCTTTAAACCGAACATCTGGTGAAAATCAACAGGATGGAGGAATTTGAGAGTCTGGATTCTGAAATGCAGGAGTTTCAGTCTGAAGCCTCTGATGTCATCAGCCAGGACGATGATGACGAAGTGGAGGAGCTACAAAACAGGTACTTTTAAAATCCATCCTGCTTGTTCTCAACTTTGTCTTTATATAACAGGGGGATCAGCCAGTTCAAACACTGCTGTTTGAAGCAAAATAACCCAGATACACTTACTGTAGTATGAAAGACAGGAAGTGTCTGTCTTGAGAGCATGAGAGGATCAAAGGATCTGTTACCAGCACTACTTCTGTAACTTCTTTTCACATAGGATGCTGATAAAGGGCGCCACAGCAGGCCGTGCTCCACTAATATTTGACTAAATTCATCTTCCTGTGTTTTCCATCTCATTTGTCCTGCTTTAAAATGGGCAGCAAACGTTGCCATGTCAGAAATAGTTGAAGACACTGATATGTTGGCTGTATTTGGGAGGGCAAGGTATTTCTTCTCTAATATTACTTGAATGACGCTCAGGGACGACACCTTGTTGTAACCCTGCAGGGGCTCAGATGTATTCTTAGCCCTCGTCAACTGCTCAGAGTGCATTTGATCATTATTTTTTTCAAATCCCAGCTCACGCTGGCAGACTGGCACCACACACCTGCTCTAAGAGCTGAGGTAATCCTCTTGTGAAATGTTGTGACAAAGTTATGCATTGTCCTTTTTTTACCCAGTGCATATTTGTTAAACTGCAAAACACTAATGTGGCTAAATGTTACTCAAACATCTTTTGATTTGATTCATCACTTTGTTCTCTGCTTATATTTCCATGAGCTGCGCCAAAAAGATCTCCTCTTGCAGTCAGACTCTTCAGACATGTCCTTCCTCTTCTTAGGAATGACACAAACAGACTGCTCACCTTCTTGTAACTCTGTCCGCTCCTCTCTCCTTCAGTCTGCGAGAAGCTGTCCAGGACCAGTCCGTGAAACCCAAACTGCAGTGCCTCATGGTGGATCCATCCTTCTCGATGGTAACAGTCCAGAGTGAGGACAGCGGTATCGTTTGGGAGACGGCTTCCAGCCGTTGCTCCACTCCCTGGGCTTCTGAGACCAGTTCCAC